AGCTAAAAAAAAATAAAAGTTTCATCCACTTTATCTAAATGTCAAAAAATAGGACTAAAAATGATAGACTTTATCTACATGTCTAAAAATAGGACTAAGCATCCCCTAAAAAGGGTTGGGGGTTACGTTCAACCATTAGGGAGTGCCTATGTATTTTCACAGAAAAAAGTCTCCACCTTGATGGGAAATTTAATTTGTTATTTTATTACTTAAAACTTTTAGGGTTCATTGGGCTGTAGCCCATTCTTTAAAGTTGAGCATTATTATTCTGCTTTGCAAAAATTTCTGTTAGTTTTTTATTGTATTTGGTCAGGTGAAGAAAACAAACCAAAAGAACCATGTGTTCATTACTACTTAACATTTCATTTATGATTTTAAACTTTAACCTATAAAACTAAATATAGAAATGCTACTCAATACACCAGGAAACTTGAACCACCTGAAATATAGCCATGGGTCCAGCTGAAAAATTTTCCAAAAAACCATATTGAGCCATCAGAAACTAACTTCATGGGCATTATTTCACAGAAGGAACTGCCTTAACCACACTGATTTAACGTTATCTATAAGTAACAGATGTCTAGTTTTCCCAATGAAACTCCTGAAGAGTTTCAGGTCTTTACTGAATAAAAGAACAGCTAGATTAAAACCAACGAAGCAGGGAGAAAGGGAAAAAAAATTGGTAAAAGTTGATCATTGAAAAGAAAAGATATCAGTATGGCAAAATCAGTATCAATGCATAGCAGATTAAAGCCATTTAACATAAGAACAAATGTATCAGTAGTTTGACTATATGAAGCAAAGTAAAATGATTACATTCTTAATGATTCCCACTTGCGGTGGTAAAGTTAAATTATATTCAAATACACTAGTAAAGAATAAAAAAAAAGATTCATGTTAAATCTTTCAATTCTTAAGAGGATAAGCTTCAGGTATGAAAATACTTATGTAAAAAAGTCATGTAAATAAGGAGTTATCATGGACTTACCCTGAACAAATGGTATGTTACTTGATAAATCAAAGGCATTTCTGAAAAGGATGTTTTATATTATTTAAAAAATATCTATAGGTATCCAAAATGTCATTAGTTTTGCTTCCCAATGTCTCACAGATATCTGACCATTCCTTATTAAAATTTACTCAATTATACACTATTAATGAGCTTGCTATCTTCCTTACCTCAGAATTTTCAACAATTTCCATACTCTTTCCTCTAAGCTCAGAGTAAGAAGCTCCTTATTTCCTTTCTGAAGTTAAATATTCCGCCTTGGTATTCTAGTTGATGACTTTCTATCTTCTATAGAAACTTGATCCTTCATTTGCAGATATACCAGTCCTAGCCCCCACCTCCCAAAACAAGAAATAACTTCCTTACTCGTAACTAGATTTGATCCTCTCTTTCTCTTACCACTCAAGTTTTCTTCTTCCTTTGTCAAACTTCTAAAATCCATGCGTATCATTTTCTCTAATTCTACTGATTGAGTTTCAAAATCCAATGGCCTTCCCTACCTCCTCATTTTCCTTGATATCTAAGCAACTTAACAAAACTCTTTCTTTGGTTTTTCACAATGCTGCACTATCCTAATTCCTTCAATGAAACGCTTTCCTTTGAATGCTCTTCATTAATGTAAATGCTCCTTGAGAAAGAATTGGCACCAGTTGTTTGCTCTTCTCTGTGATTTCACGAACTCTCACTATGTCAGTGATCATCCCCAAGTCCATGACTGCTGTATCTCTCCAGCCTGACCTCTCCCTAGAGATGTAATCTTCATCTGTAACTGTCCATTGGAGACTACCTGATATCTCCAAAATAAATGAAGCTAAAATCAGAATTCACATTTCTCTGCACCAAGCTTGACTCCTTCCTTTTCATCTTTCTTCCTCCCAGTCACCCATGTTTGAGATTTACGAATCATCTTTCTCAATTCTCTCCTCCAAATTTAAATACTAAGTTTTATCAATTCTTCCTTCATAACATCTCTCATATCTGCCATTTCCCTCCCTATTCTTATAGATGCTATTCTGGTTCAGGCTTTAACCTCTTCATGTCTAAATTACTGTAAAAACTGCTCACCCAACCTATAGCCTTACCCATTTTCCATTTTTTAATTTATACCGAACACAGCCACTAGAATAGTTTTTCTAAAATACCACATCACATCCTTTCTCAAAAATCATTTCATGATCCCACTATCTATCATATAAAACTCAAATACTTAGCCTAGCAATCAGACCAATTTTACCAGTTTTGTTTTAGTTATTTTTCCAGGTATTTCCCACTACTCTCCAACTCAAATATTTTGTTTAAAAAAGCTAAATCAATTCACTATTTCAAGAATACACATTGTACTTGCCTTTGTTTATTCTTCTCCACATGCCCTATTCCCATCCTATCTAGTTTTACCTAGGTTCAGGTTCTAGGTAAAAGCATGGACTTAGAGGCAGACCCTGGATTCAAATTCCAGGTCTGTTATTTATAGAGTGACTCTGAGCAAGTTACTTAGCTTTTTTGTCCCTTGGTTTCCTCCTCTGTAAAATGGGGGTAATAATAGCATCTCATAGGGCTATTGTGAGGATTAAGGAAGTAGAATATAGTTAAGGTTTCTGGCACATGGTAGTAGTACTATCTACACATTAGCATTTATTAAAAATTCAAATTTCAACTGACACTCTTCCATGAAACCTTTCTTGATAGCTCCAATCCACAGTGATCTTCTCTTTTCTATGTTTCCAAAAACATTTATTGTAAACCACAAAAGTTCAAGTGTAACACAGGGTTTCTCAATAGTGGCACTGCTGACATTTTAGGCCAGATAATTCTTTGTTGTTGGGAGCTATCCTGGGCACTGTAGGATATTGGGCAGCATCTGTAGCATCTACTCACCAGATGCCAGTAGTAACCCAACCTGCAGCTGTGAAACCAAATATGTCTCCAGACATTGCCAAATGTCCCCTAAGGGGCAAAATCATCCTAGCAGTTGAGAACTACTAGTATAACACAAGATAAAATACATAAAAACATTCAAAGCAATATACAAGGGTCAAGTATTATTACCATTCAGCACTTATCAAATACACTTTTGTATTTTTTAATTGATTTGAAATTTGTATGTACTTTCATTGTCCAATTCGTTTGAATATCCTTTAGCACAGAACTCATGTTTATTCATTCCACAATCACACCTAATGGAAGACCTTGGACATCTGTTGATTAATAGATGAGATAAAGGTAACCTGAGACAGAAAGCAGTGAACTGGAAAGAGCATGGGATTTGCAGTCAGAAGATCAGGTTCAAATCTTAAATTTGCGCTTATTTTAGAACTTTGGGCAATTCATTAAAGTCTATGAGCCTCAGTTTTCTGAGTTTTTCTCAGTTTTATAAAACGTAACATCTCTATAGGCTGGCTGTGATACTCGAATGTAATCAAGTATGTGAAAGAATCATGTATATTGCAGAATTATTATATACATAGAATCGTATGTATAAAAAGACAAAAATAATTATTATACTATAATACCTCTTTTATCCAGAATCTTCCAAGACTTCCTTTATAATTTTAGTTTCTAGGAAACTGAAGCTTATGCCTTTAAGTGTTTAACTATGAAATTTAAACTATTTTGATGGAAGTTTCTGGTTTTAGAAGTATATATATATATACTTCTTTCCTCTAAAACAATAGGCACTGAATATAATTTAATTTTTCCTAAGTCTGGGCCATTATTATAAACATTAATTACCATTCTAAAATACAGCTCTCTCAGAGATTATTAGATATGTAATGCTGTTGATTTCTTTATTAGTCAGAGGTACTGTGCCTCATTTGGTTCCACTACAGCCCTCATGCCCCTGCTGTTGCCCCTCTAATTCTCTATGGATTAGAAAACTAAGTAAGTTTGTTAAAGTGGAATCTAAAATGAGAAAAAAATAGTCTTTGAAGGAGGGGTCCAGAAGTATGCCTCTCACTAAAGTTCATAAACGGGAAACTTCATGTCATCTTCTCTGGCTGTTCAAAGGTATTTTTTACTTACTTTCTGGGTCTCATTGGTGTTTTGAGCAACTGAAATTGCTGGAAAGCAATTTCTTAGTCTACTCTAAATATGTATATGTAGAGACAGTACCATATGTTGTAATACATATATATAATAAAAATGTACATAGAACTAACCTACTTATATTTTTAAAACATTTTAAGTGCTTTCTGAAGACACTCAAAAAAAATCTCATTAAGTTAAAGCTACAACAGAGCAAACAATCATACTGTTTGAAAGAAAAAAAGAGCCAGCATTCATGTGCTAAGTCCAATCACAGGCAAACTAAAAAGGAAAATAGTAAATTTCCTTCAGAATCTCTTGACTGAATTATTTCAAGACTTGCATGCCTGCTTTTCTACTTAAACTGATGAAGTTATGAAAGGTCAATATTTTCCAATTTAAAAAAAAATTCATTCACCTTTCATTACAAGCAAACATTAAGTTTGAGGCAAAAAGGAAAATTTAATAAAACTTAAGAGAAAATCAGAGTCAAAGTGAAAATTGCTTTGTGAGTCAGGAGCATTCTGTTCTTAGGCTTGTAAATTATATGGGTCACAGAAAAACCTGTTCCCCTGACGCTTCCAGAACACTTGTATATTTTTAGATATATAATATTGTACACATGTAATATCATAATAGTATAACAAAAACAAACTCATCTTTAATAAGTCATGATAATTTACCTCTGTCAGATATTATAAAACATACAAGGGAGGAAAAGTGAAAGGGGAGGAAAAAAATAAATCAAGTCAAAATATTATACTTTAAAAAAAAGGCTTTTGGTTTGTTTTTAAAACTTTTCATGTCTTAAAATCAAATAAAAAGTAAAAGAGAGAAGAAAGAGCGAGAAAAGAAGGAAGAAATAAAAGAAAAGAGATAGGGAAGGAGGGAGGGAGAGAGGAAACTAGAAAGAAGAAAACATGGCATATCTAACAGTACTTCTGGATAAAATTATCTAGCCTTGTACCTGACAACCGTAGTCCAAAAGAAGCTGCAGTATATCCAAGTTTTCGTTTTCAATAGTTATGGTAACAGCATTTCTCCCAAGCACATCTACGCAATTTATGTTCAAGTCACCTGAACTGTTTTCCTCCAAAATCTTTTTAACCATATAATAGTCACCTAAATAACAATATACAAACATAATTTAATATTCATGACATTAACTATAAAAAACTTAGCCTGTTGATTTAAACAATTAAAAAACCTAAACTCATTTTTGTATATGGAAATGTGCAAAGAAAATGTGAACATTTTCTTGCTGAAAACTTGTATCCTGATAGTATGTACATCAGCTGCAAACATAAAAGTAGAAAAAATTTTAATGTGCGGTTTGAAATAAAAGTTGTTAGTTTAAAATTCATAACTGAATGATTATAGGAGAGAAACTTTTAGAAGATATTTAAAGCAATAAAGAATGTCCAAGAGCACAAACTGAAAGCTAGAAAAATTAGAAGCTTAAAAGATTTAAGTTTTACACCTCAAATACATATATATTTACTTGAGTATCATAATAGTTAAAAATGAGATCTAGTAGTAAGTGGAGGATATTATGAAGAGGAAAGAAAACATGAATGTGTATATGTTTGAGAAAAGAAATTCCTTTTCTCTCCTTCCCACTCACCCAACACACACACGCTCTATCCCATAAATGAAGCTGTTGAGATTAAATGACCAAGGAACGGTCAATTCATACTCTAAGGCAGGACTAGAAATAACGTTGGTTGAGGATAAAGTCAGAATATTTCAAAGTAAAATTTTGACCTGTCAGGAGCATGCGGATTTCCTTCTGCCTAACTCTAGCCCACATCAAAACAGTTGACCCATTGAGTAAAATGAGAATAATCAAGGAGGTAATCATTTTCACGGAGGGCCCAGCATATTTGTCTGCTGCCAGCTGGTGAAGTAATAAGGAGAATAAAAAAATGCTAATAAACTAAACAAAGAAAGAAAAGTCGGTTTTGTTTGTTATATTTCATTTTACTTTTAAAACATAATACGAATAAACCATTTTAAGTGACTTGCAAATATATTTGTTCCTTTGATACCTATGAATAAGAAGCAGAAAAAGTACAGAGTAGAAACCAGAAGGAAAAAGAAATGAATAATTTCATGATACGTAAAGAGTAAATTCTAAAACTTGACTAAATGAGTGAATAAGAAAGGTAACAGATTTTTGTTTAAATTTCATATAAAATTGCTGTTATTCTTTGCCAATGACTTTAGTCGCCGCACATTTTGTAATAAGGTGAATGGTAATTTTATTGATGGCATATTTCCTCAGCTACCTCTAGAAGAAAATTAGTCACAAAAAGAAATAATAGCACTACTAATTAATGTTCAGACACTAATACTCCATGGCAAAAACCTTTCAAATCCTTCACAAAGTGAAGCTCTTAGTCACAAGTTGAACCAAGAGTAGAACCCACAAATAGACCAGTGAAAATTTATCACTATTACTGGAAAATAACATTTAAAATCTTATTTCAGGTGAATTTATTTCAATATATTAGTAGCAGAATACTATCCATAAGAACTGCTATATTTTCTTTGATATCATGTGTCTAAGTGAGGATTAATTTTTAATTTATCCTGCTTGAGACTCATTAGGCTTTCTGAATCTAAAATCTGCCCTTCATAAATTTTGTAATATTTTCAGCCATTATCTCTTCAAATATTGCTGCATCCTCATATTATTTTTTTCTATTAGAACTCCTACTAGATATTATGTTGGATTATCTCAATCCAATTTTTATGTCTCCAAAGATTTATTATTTTCTTCTTTTTCTTGCATTCTGGATAATTTCTTCAGATCTCTCTTCTAATCACTTATTCCTCCTTCAACTATTTCTGATTAACCCATTCATTGATTTTTTAAAAAATTTAATGGCTTTTTTAATTCTGTAAGTTTTACTGGATTCCTTTTCAAATCTTCTGATTTACTTTTTCATGTTTTCATTTCCTTAACTTTTAGTCATTTTTAAACATACTTATTTTATGGTCTCTATATAACAATTACCTGAAGGTCTTAGGGATTTAATCCTATTTGTTGTGACCTGTTGACTTGTATTAATGGATAACTATCTTCTGAATTTTTTTAATGCGTATTATAAACTCAACTTCATACTTACTTGTAGGGATCCTGGTAACCTAGTTTGAAAGCTTGTCCCACCAAGGATGTTTTGTGTTTGCTTCTTCCAGTAACTCAGAGGTTTTGCTGTCCTATGAATCCTTTTTATATTTCTTTCTAAGTTTAGGTTTTCCCAGACCAAGTACGTCATATTTATTTAAACCCCAAGCCAACATGAGGCAGAACCATAGTTGTAAATTCTTAGGGGAGTCTTATTTACAAGCTTCTTCATAGTCTCCTTGTGCTAGTAGACAGTTTCTTTTCCTTATCTAACCGTTTGCTAAAGGTAGGTCCTTTAAAGATACTGGTTTCATGCACGGATGTTGTTCCAATTCCTCACTTTATAGAGACGCAGGCCTGTAACCCATTTTCATATGAGCATTAAAATTCAAATCCTGACAATGTCCAAACCAATAACTGTCATCCCCACGCATACAGCAGCCAAAATGTCAGCTTACACCCTCCTCTGCTTTTTAGTCTTTTCTCCATTTTTGGATCCTGAGTGTTTCTCTTACTTTCATGAAAGCTCAGTTGTTCATTTAAAAGGATGCTTGCTATATTTTAGCTAGCATTTCTAGGTGATTTGCAGCAGAAGGATTTTCAGATGATCTAGACAGCCATATTACTATAGACAGAAAAGTATAAAGAACTATATACATATAATTATTATAAGATTTTCCAAATTTTAGGTACAGCAGATGGACAGAAACAACTGCTACACATTTTAAAACTTTAGACTGCTGTTTAAAAAGTAATCGTATTGCAAATGTCAGATATTCCAGCCTTAAGGTTTCAAAGACTATTTCCATTACAATCAGGGGCCTATACAAGGAAAAAAACCTTAAAAATCAGAAGATAATAATTTTCACCCCTAAAAATAATAAAAAGTTTCACATTGCCAAAGCTGACACACTCATGCAAATAAAAATTACATGTTACAGACACAGGACCTATAGGAAACTTAGACTGGTTTCTAAGCATTCCACCAAAGTTTATATTTGCAAGCCATTTAAAACAATGGACTGTATTCAAAAATCCCAGAACAGTCTTAATATTTAAGATGAGTGTATATGTAAAAAGAGATTAGGAAATTTAAAATATCTAGTAAGAAGTTAGTTAGAGAGCAAGGACTACAATTCAAAATGCGTTCTTATGAGGTGGCTGGAAGAGAGAATGGAAATGGAGACAAGTAAATCTTGGTGGGTCTCCAGTTACCAAGTTGTTAAAGTTGTCGGAGTCATCTTGTCAACTTTTTAAAAACTAAATCTGGGATCTTTGGAAATATGGCAGAGTGAGAGACATCCCCAGATTTCTCCCCTTGAAACAAAAACAAGTTGAACACCTAAAACTCAACAAAAAACACCCAAACTACACACCAGCATGTCTGAGTGTGGGATCTGCTTATAAGGCCTACCATAGGTCAGAACCCCAGGTGTCAGGTGGTGGACCAGGAGTAATAAAGAAGCTGCCTCTAGCATCTGCCAGAGCTCCCTGTAAGAGGAGGGGGAGGGGAGAAGGAGCGTCGAGTTCCTGTGGTGAGTTCCCTGAACAGCCCTGCCTGGGAAAACTGCAGGGCCCAGTTATCAGGGCAGAAAGCAGAGAAGCAGAACGGGACTACAGAGGAACAAGTTGATTTTTACTGGCCACAGTTGCAAAACTGGAGCTGAGCTGCAGCCCCCAACCCACAACCCAGAGGGCCCCTCCCCCTATACCCTCCAAAAATGATCTCTGCGGAGCCCCAGGGGAATCTGAGCAAACGCTGCCAAGACTGTTGCTGACAGTGACAGGGACTGAAACTGAGGATAGTGAGCGTGATTAAAGATCTACAAGGAAATTTAAAAAGTGTTATTAAGACTTTATATAAAGCAGGGATCCGAGAGGCTTACACGTCACCTACTGGAACCAAAAGAAAAAGTGCCTTCTTTGCACAAGGCTAAAGAGAGACCTTTATATAATAAATCTTCTTTCTGGAAAAACAGCAGAATACATTTCCATTAATGCCCAGGTGGAGAAATAGTCCATTAAACACCATGAACAACCAAGGATACAAGGCATCTCAGAAAGAAAGAGAAAAATCTCCAGAAAATAACCTTACAGACATAGAAATATGTGACTTAAATGACAGAGAAATCAGGATGGTACTTCAGAAAAAACTCAATGAGATCCAAAACGAATTGTATGAACAATTTTAGGAATTGAAAAAACAAATGGATGAGCAGAGCAAGGAGACTGAAACCTCAAAAGGGACCAAACAGAACTTCTGGAGATGAAGAACACACTGCAAGAGTTGAAAAATGAAATAGCAAGCTTGGGAAATGAGAGTCGACCAAATGGAGGAAAGGATCAGTGATATCAAAGACAGAAATCTAGAAATACATGAGAAGGAAGAAGAGAGAAACCGAAGAATGAAAAATAATGAAAGAGAAATTCAAGAACTAGCTGATACCATTAGGAGAGGAAACATAAGAATAATGGGCATTATCGAAGGCGAGAAAAAGGAACAGAGATTAGAAAGCATTTTCAGACAAATAGTGGATGAGAATTTCCCAAATCTAAGGAATGAACTGGAGCCTGGAATTCAAAAAGTCAACAGAACACCCAATTACCTCAACCCAAAAGGCCTTCACCTAGACACATTGTATTAAAATTATCAAAAATCAATGGACAAAGACAGAATTTTCAAGGCAGAAAAAAATGGTAACTTATAAAGGTAAACCCAGTAGATTATCCTCGGACTTCTCAGTGTGAACCTTAAATAGTATCAAATATTTAAACTACTAAGTGAAAGGAACTTCCTGCCTAGAATAATGCATCCAGCTAAGCTCTCCTTAGATATGAAGGAGAAATTAAGACTTTTCCAGACATACAAAAATTGAGGGAATTCTCCACTACAAGGCCTGCACTACAGGAAATACTGAAAGGGGTCAGTTCGCCTAAAACAAAATGACAAAAAGAAAAAGAAATAATTAGGAGTAAAGTGACTATCAGGCAA